AAATATATGAAAAATTGATGTGGGTACTCAAATGAAAGGTCTTGATGAGTGTAACATCGGGATGAGCTTATATCTTTAAAAGTGTCAATCGTGAATAAAATACAAGGTCATTTCTTAATTATTGATATTTTTAGAGATGTAAGCTCATCCTGATGTTACACTCATCAAGAGCTTTCATTTGAGTACTCACATGCATTTTGATATATTTTTCATATATACATATATATTAGGGTGTGCCAAAATGTAACTTCCGTGAAGAACCTTTTAAAATTGGAATTTTGAGTTCCGCTTTTAAAAGCAGCTCTGTTTAGGTCTTTTCTAAGATATTTTGGGGTGAGATAATAAATTTGATTTTCATAGATTTTTTTAACTGGAGCTTAGTTTAGGCACTTCCGCTGAAAATTAAAATTTTGGCCGGAAGTACCCAATTAAACCTCCTGCTAAAAAATTCTATGAAAATCAAATTTATCGCCTCACCCCAAAATATCTTAGGAAAGGCCTAAACACAGCTGATTTCAAAAGCGGAACTCAAAATTCCAATTTTAAAAGGTTCTTAACGGAAGTTACATTTTGGCACACCCGAATATATATATATATATATATATATATATATATGAAAAATTGATGTGGGTACTCAAATGAAAGGTCCTGATGAATGGAACATCGGGATGAGCTTGTATCTTTAAAAATGTCAATCGTACTCAAGATACAAGGTCATTTTATCTTATAAATACACTGCCCAAAAAATTTTCCTTATTCTCTTGATAATACAGATAATGTGAACAAAATATAATCTGTACATAATCACCAGCTAATTTTCCTTTACAGATTACCTGAATAGCCGTAATGAGAATCCCGCAGGCTATCGAGACACTCATGTCGCAGTAGTAATGAATCTTTGGTCTTCCATTAGCCAGCATACCGTACTTCTGCTTAAACACAATTATTAAGTACGGTGCTTGCGTGAGATACTCTTTAATCCAATTTGTCTTCAACGGCTTCAAGTCCGTCGTCCACTTTTTACCCATGCGTTTTTTATAGTTTATCTCTTCCTCTTGTTCGATTATCTCCCTTATCCTCATCTTCGTCATTTTATCAGATACCACCACAAAAGTCCAAGGCTCTGTGTGGGCACCACTAGGTGCTGTCCCTGATTAAACAGGTCACCCTTAATCATTTTTATTTATAATTTATAATAAAAACATATATAAATATAAATATAACTATAAGTACCTGCTGCTTTAATTATATCATGAATAACGCTGTGAGGAACAGGCTCTGAGCTAAAAAATCTAATTGTTCTCCGTGCGTTAGCAATTTTATAAAATTCTTTAGCACGATTTTTCAGATCTTCAACACTTGGCTTTGCATAAACATAAGGAATGTGTTCCAAGTTTATTGATAAAGCCGGTTCATCATTACCCGGCTCGTCTTCAATGTACTCTGTTGAATAACTATCTCTTAAATTTTTATTTTCTTCACCACTTTCACAACGCAACTGTTTGTACTTTGATATTATGTTTATAATACCGTAAAAAATTGGAATTATTATTAAGCAATAACCGTAATTTGTCCAGAAAGGAAATAATTCTGCTAACATTTTATTTATTTATTTATTAACTAATTAATTAATTAATTAATTTATTTATTTATTAATTTTTTAATTAATTTTTTTATTTTTTTCTTTGGAAAAGACTTTATTAATTAAATTTTTACCATTAATTAATATACTTTTTGTTACTTACTATTATCAGTTCTCAATTAAATTCAATTTACTTTATTTTTGCTTAAATTAAATTTTTCACAAAGAAAAAAATTACGCGTCTTATAAGATAACTTGTCAGTTGTCAATGATCAACTCTTTATGATTATGATCCAATATCAAGCATTCGCTTTTCCCTTTCCTTTTGAAACTTCAACTGTATCATTAAATTCAAAGGACAGTAACGTTACTTTTTACTCTGTACGATACACTGTACAATTATTTAATTATAATTTTCTACATTCCACTATCTGTGTATTGTACACATATTTTTATTATACAAATTCATATAATGTGAGGGGAGAATAATGATGTCACCACTCTTGAGGATTGTTTCCATCAGTTTAACATATGTTTTTCATTTATTTTAATTATTCAAAGGCCTCTGTAATCTTGCATTGATTAGAGGGAATTGTCATCAGTTCGTGTACATTCATGAATATGTTATTTTCATTCTATTTAATCAATAGTTCAATAAAATAAATTAAAAGTTCATCTATTAATATACATTTATTATATTTATAGTTTTAAGATTTTTTTTAATAATAATACTTACTTGGATTTCTTTTTTTAATAAATTAATAACTGGAATTTTTAAATAGATAGTTATTAAAATAACAGGCAAAAATTAGCTGGTCATTGATTTTTTTTGGATTCATTGTATACCAAATTTTTAATGAAAATTTGAAAAAAAAAGTTATAAAAATTAAAAAAAATTCATTTTTTATCAATATTTTATTTATAAACTAAAATTTTCATTCAAAAAAAAAATTAATGACATTAAAATTTTTAAAAATCAACTTATTAAGTAAAAAACATTTTTGACACTGAAATTGACAGACATTATAAATTTTATAGTAATTAATTATTATAAAAAAAATTTAATACAAAAATTCCACAAAAAAAAATATTCATGAAAATTTTTAGAATTTTTTTTAATGCATCTAATTGATTTTTCTATAAAAATTGACAGTTGTCAGCTAACTTCAGTATCATAAAAGTGAAAATTAATTTAGTAGATATTTGATAATTTATAATAATTAGCTGTCAATTTTTAAAATTTTTTCATTTAACAAATAAAGTTTTTCTGAAAAAATTATTTAAAAAAAAATTGCATTTTTAGTTTTTAAAAATTTTTAAATGTCAATTTTTTTGATAATTTATTTTTGTAATAATTAAATTGTAAAAAAAAATTATAAAAATCATCAACTATCTTCCAAATTAATTTTCATTGATAATTTTAAGAATTTTTTTTACAAGTAATTTATTTTTAGAAAATTTTTAGAAAATAAAAAAAAATTTTATTTTTAAAAAACTTTAAATGCAATTTTTAATAAATTTTTTTTAATTCTAGTTTAATAACTGAAAAAAAAATCAAAAAATTAAAAATGGCGGCTAACTAGAATTATGAATAAAAAATTCAATTTTTTGTAACAAATTTATTTGTTGAAAAAAAAATTTTAAAACAGTAAAGTGACTGCTAATTTTACTTTAATATCATAAAAAAACACCTACTTGCTAAAGTTTGACATCAACAAAAAAAAAAAATAAAATTTTTTTTCTATTAAAAAAAAAAGAATATTTTTGTAGTGATTAACTTGTGGCGCCGCCAGATTACCAAGTGGTACGATGAGAAAATCTCTTGGCAGTATTGTAAAGACCTAGAATAATTTCAACACACATTTACTTATAATCCGTGTATGAGATAATACCTATATAAGTACAGTCGGCCTATATATCTATGTACATAAAATGAACATGTGTGGAGTCTGCAAAACAGTGCTTACACAGATAGGCAGAATAAATGTGCAACCGCGACCCTGATACGACCAAGAAGGCAATGGATTGTCCATATAGTAGTGTTTTAAAAGTAACTAACATAACCGGCCAATTGCGTCGTACACCAGGCGCGACAAATCCAAATAAAAATAATAATACAAAAACACTGTATTAAGTTTAAGGATTGTTTGTTTAAGTACTTATGTACTATATACTGTATTATTATTTTATTAATCTCCAACATAATCAGGTTATAAATATATGTTACTTATTTATTCAATAGCTTCACTGTTTTCACTAAAATAGAGAATATCAAGTTATGAAGACAATTATTTATCAGGTAAAAAAATTACTATGACACAAATCCAATAATTGACATAAAATTATTTAAATTAATAAATAATTCGAGTGACATTTGAATTTCTTCAAAGTTTTATAATTTGACATTATAGTGGTGGTGTAAAAAATGCAAAATGGAATTTTAAAATAGACGGAATAGAGAAAGAGAGATGGAGATGGTGATGTTAATTTTAAATGCAAGTGAAATGTCATTTAGTAACTTGAGAGTTATCCTAAAAATTCAATAGTTCAGCAAGTATAAGTGGGAGAGGTTAAAAACGTTTTATTTGGTGTAATCAAGAGCAAGTCCGGCAGGTGATCTATTATATTATATTGAAAACCGGACGTGTCGGTAGTGACACTTGATAGCCGGGTTAAAATCTCATATTTTATCAGTGTAGCTACACCGAGAGCTAACAGAGATAGAAAATAGATAGTGTATGTTGCTGAAATTTAAAGAAGAGAATAGGATGGAGAATGTCATGCAACCACCCCTTCTACCAGCTAGAGCACCACCAACACATCTAAATTCAACTGCTGACAGTGACAATGTCAATGAAACTGTCACACATGTCTTGACATTTGGTACGTTTTTATAATAATCAAGTCAGCTGACATCTGATGATTTTTAGGATTTTTTTTCAACAAAAATAAATTATTTTAGATTATTATTATTATTATTATGATTATTAGAATTATTATATATTAAATGAAAATTAAAATAAAAATTAAATTAGCCGACATCTAGGAATTTTTATAATTTTTTTTTACTGAAAAAATTATTTTAAAAAAATAAAAAAAAAAATTTCATTTGTTAAATACTTCAAAAACTGTAAGTGCAATTTTAAAAAAATATTTTTTTGTTCTAATTTAATTATTAAAAATAAAATCAAAAAATTAAAAACGTCGGCTAACTTTAGTATCATAAATTAAAGTTAGCCGACACTCAAAAATTTTTGATTTTTTTTTTTAATTAAAAATTAGAACTAAAAAACTATTTTTAAAAAATTCCACAGATAATTTTTAAAATTTTCTACATGTGAAAATTTTTGTTTTAATTTTTTAAAAATTATTTTTCAATAAAATAAATTTTCAAATGTCGGCTAATTTAATTTTCATATATATTAAAGTGATACTTTTCCAAAAAATTCCACTTGTAGATGTCAAAAAAATTTATTGTTGCCATTTTTTTTTTTTAAGTACAAGATCCAGTTATTGACACTGGCCTAATTATTGACACTTGCAATTTTATTTAAATTGAATGTGAAAAAAAAATTAACTCTGATGCAATAATAAATATAATTTTTTAATTATAAATTTTAAGATAATTGATTTTTTAAGAACATTTTACTTATTTAATTAGAATAAAATTGCAAGTGTCAAACAACTAGGCTAGTGTCAATAATTAGGTCTTTTACCTTAATTTATTTGTTGTAAAAATTAAAAAAATTGACAATTGTCAGCTAACTTCAGCTTCATAAGTTTTTATTATTATTAATTAAATTGTTTTAATTTTTAAAATAAATCAATATTCGGGCTTTTTTTTTACTTGGTAAAATTACTCACTACTCATTGCTCAATCTTTATAACGGTATACAAATGCTTGTACTTTCATTTTAAGAAATTTTTTTCATTACATAAACTTACCAGCTAGGTCACTATCGACCAAACTTCTAGATCAAAAGTAGAACCCCATTATCGATAAATTTTTATCTGGAACTAAAAATATCGATGAAGTTGATTGATAACTGTACTGAATTCATACTAGAAATTGGCTTTTTAAATATTTATACAACTCAATAATTATGAAGTGGTATTTAAAAACATATTTAAAACTGATAAATCTGTTCGTCATGCTGATAAATTTGAAACATTCTATTTAGTAATTTATAATTTTTAAGTAGATTTGTAAGAGAAATCTAACTACCATAAGCTGTAATTTTTCTTACGCAATCTTTCGACATTATTTTACTGAAATATACTTTGTTTTCTTCACTTGGTCTGAGAAGATTTAATAATTGATAATTATAAATAATTAACAATAAATATTTTTTATAATAATAATAAAGTTAGCCGATATTTTTTATTTTTTTATTTTGCTTAATTTATAACTAAAAAATATTTTTAAAAAATTGCACTTATAGTTGTTGAAGTTTTGAACAAAAAATTGTTTTTTTTTTTTATTTTTTTATAATAATTTTTTAATAAAAAAAATCATAAAAATTTTAAGATGTCGACTAACTTTATTTTTATTTTTTATGATATAAGCATATTAAAAAAAATTAATTTATACCGTTTTACTTTCAGATAATTTTTAAAAACTAAAATTTTTTTTTTGTCAACATTACAACATAAAATAAAAATTCCAAACTTCTCCAAGACTAAATTAACCATATGTTAATTAGTTAGGGCCAAATAATTACCCTAAGTGACAAGCTGACATTATGTTTTAGCTATTTAAAATTAAAACTTGAACTTGGACATTGAAATAACAAATACTTCATTTAATGTAAGTAGTAATATGTCATTCTGATAACTTTAAAGCTAAATACCCAGCATAATTATATTTTAATGACTATTTACAGTTAGATTTAAACCCTGAAGTTTATAATAAAAAGCAAGCCTTGGGTTGGGTCTGACTTTTATGTAAAATGGCAAAAACATTTTAATATTATCTGAGTAGAGATCTTTAACAAACTATGTCTATGTCGCCAGAGGAATATTTTGTG